GGTAGGCAGTGCTCTGTGTCCCAATGTAGGGGTGGTGGTGGTGGTGGTGGTGGTGGTGGGCATGGTGCCAGGGCTCAGGGCCTCCCTGGTGCAGGTGGCCATGCAGGGAGGCGGGTGCGTAGGGGTCGGTGGCGGTGGCGAAGGGCAGCTCGCTGTGGGCGGCAGCTGCCAGGGGGCTGCTCAGGCTGGCTGGGACTGAAGAGGGCTGGTACGTGCTATTCCAGAAGGATGGTGGGAAGATGCGCTGGCTCATTGGGAAGGAGCCATCTGGGTGAAGGAAATGGGAGAGAAAGTCAGCAATGAGCCCAGCCAGCAAGGCTTGATCACCTTTCCCTAGGCCTCTGTCCCTCCCCAATCCAACCAAACCCAAACCTTAACTCCCTGAAAAACTACCAAACACAAGAACTTGCTCCAAACAAATACAGATTCCTCTCCAGCTAAACATCCAACACACCTAGGCTATGGCTTATCCCTGAAGCTGCAACTTTTTGTTCCAGGTTTCTCTTAGTATGTAGGTGGGCAAAAGGCTGTTGTCTAAGGTGAGGGAAACATCTCTTTTCTTCCATAGTGTAAACTGAGTGAGAGCTGATATACACCACTGAAATTTTCAAGGTCGGATTTTTCTTGTTCATTTTTGTAATAATCTCCTTGTATAAACATTTATGCCCAACAACTCCAGGAAAGCAGCTGCTGCCTCAGCGCAGTTTCAAAGGGGTCAGGAACAGTGAGAGATGTGACTAGAGGCCAGTTTGAATTTTCTTAATTTTCTGGGGGCGATTGTCAATCTATTACACCAGACTTATGCCTGTTTCTTAGGTATATAGTCAACAGGTTTGGGAAGCACTCTGCAGACCTTTGGAGATTTTTCAGAGGCAGAGCAAAGGACAAGGACCCTACTTTTTTCTAACCCAGTAAGCAACATGCAAGATGGACTGGTGATTATTAATAGTACAGGTAGATGTTATGCATGATTAATTGAGAATGCACACTATTCCCAAAAGAAATAAATAAAACCATGCTCCTGATACATTTTTGCCAGGATGTATGTCAGCTCTGAGCCCTGGCATTACTCAGTAGAAGGGGAAGAGGTTCATGATGAGGAAAAAACACTCCTCTCCTGCCACCAGTTGAATATCTTTCACACATGAATTATTTAAACTATTTCATTCTTAGACACTATCGACAGCAATTTGTATAGAGTCTGAGAAATCAGCCTTGGCTGAGCAGGTGGCCCTGTGAGAGAGAGTTAGCAAAACTGCACATAAAGAAGTGCCAGCCCTAACTGTCTGGCAGACAGAGGATGGGAAAGTTTATTCCCTTCTGCCCTGGGTACCTCTAGGCCTGTCCAGAGTGAATCAGCATGAATACGGAGAGCTGAGCGTAAGCCCTGGCCTTGACCTTGATGGTACACAGTCACAGCCATAGGCAGGTCTAGAAGCCTTCGTTTTCAGAAATTTAAGGACCTTCCCCCAGCAGCAATCAGGGTGATGATACATAGAGGGCAAAATATCAGTTTTTCAGAGGTGGAAAGCTGATGAGATGGTTCCCACATTTGCTTTTTGCTTTGTTTCCATCATTATGACCACACTAAACTGAAAGCAAGGGTCAACAGGAGATGCACAGTCACAGTGCAGGTGTCATTTCATAGCTGGTTTGGCTGTAGCCCCTTCAAGGTAAAGCATCTGCAGTGTAAAGAAAATTCATTTCCCCGTTCCACCTCCCAGGCTGCTTTCCCCTGGAGCACTGAGGCCAGGCGTGAACTGAAGGGCTTTACTCTTTTTTTTTCCCTTAAAAGGGCCAAGCAGCTGACAGCTCCCGGCCCGGGACAGCGGCTCCCAGGGGCTGCCCGCCGAGCACCAGCCGTGGGCCAGAGGGAGGAGGGAGACGAGATGCCGAGGTCCGAGGTGCCTGCCTGGAGGGGGACCCCACTGCCCCCCGCGCCGCGCTGGGTGCTCACCCCGCCAGGAGCCGGCGTTCCGCGTCGCTTTCGCGCTGCCGAGGGAGAAGCTGCTGGGCTGGCTGAGTGCCCGGCTGAAGTGCTCGTCCACCACGGCGCTGATGTCCCCTTGGAAGTAGGTGAAGAGGACACAGCGGGAGCTGATGTACTCGGCCTCCGGGGGTCGCTCCTTCTCGGGGCTGCAGTCCTCCTCCTTGATGCTGGCTGCGGGGTGGCTGGAGAAAGAGCTGCTGGCGCTGGCGCTACTGCTGCTCTCCTGGGCTTCTTGCATGTTGGAGTAAAAGGCGAGTTTCTGCGGGAAAGGAAACAAAACAGAGCCGGTCAGGCAGCGCATCAAGGTACTCTGGCTCCCCATGTGCCAACCGGCATGCAGCGCCGAGCCCTCTCCCGCGATCTTTCCGAGAGGATGCAAAAGTCTGGTCCTAGGCTGCCCGCCTTTCCCCCAGCACACACCGTAACCCCCCACACCCCCACATCGCCCTCCGTAACTGCAGTTCTGTCCCATCCCCGGGAAGCAGCGAAGGGGTTGCAAACAGGGCAGGTGTCCCGAAACCCAGAGGTGCCGGCTGGGATGGAGAAAGAGCCGCCGGGCGGGGCGGGCGCTGCCGGGCGGGGATCACACGCCCGGGTCCCCCGCACCAAGCCCGGCACAAGAAGCTTTACAGATGGCTCCGGAGCGGACAGCGGCCGCCAAGGGGCTGCAGTGCGAGGGGAAAGACGCGGGGCACGGTCGGACAGCCGCCGGGCACACACGGAGCAGAGACGGCAGCGGAGGGAAGGCGAAAGGCGCTCGGTCCCCGGCTCGCAAAATCTACTGTGAAG